AAATAAAACAAGTGCCAAACCCCGCCCACTGTGGTAGGGATTGAACATTTAATTTAGAAAAAAAGTATTTTTCGTTATTTTTGTTTGAGAATGTATAGGTTTTATTTTTATCGAATTCGTTGGTTTTGTTTTAATGCATTTCTGCAAATAAAAACTAAGTATTGTTTAAAATCCATTAAATTCCAGTTAATGGCGAAAATGTATTTCTTAAAAACTATACACAGTTTCATACGACAGCGTCGCAGCTACTGAACAAACAGTAGATAAAACTGCATGCCCTTGTATCTGGCTACATGCCGCGCTGTTGCCATATGCTATAATTGTTTCCTAAAAGGGTTGTTTTTCTTATTTTTTAATATTAAAAGTAAGAAAATTAACTAAATCAAATTATTTTTGATATATTATTAATTTTTTTGTTATTTTTAGTTTCAAACAAATAAAATTGCACTATTTATTAAATAATTATAATCGTTCTCTTCTGATTTAAAACAACCTGGCAACTATGGTTCGTAATTACGAATGGCTTGGTTTAAACCACGCCCAATTAAAGTTTGTTTCTTTTTCTCTAATCAGAATATAATTTGTCATCCTTGTCTCCAGCCTTACTTACTTGATTCTATACAGTCTGTATTAGAGGTGGGCTGTTTGATACAGAAGCCGTATCGATACGATATCGATATAATTTTCAAAATATCGCTTATATCGATACAATTTCGATTCGATACGGTTATATAAAAAAAATGGAAGAAAAAATAAAAACTTTTATTAAATGAATTTAATTATTAGGAAGTTAACGAAAAAATATAGGTATATAAAAATCTGCAATTTTTTTCGCAATTGTTTAAACTTGAAATAACTTTGAAATAACTTAAACGTCAGTTGCAAAATTTATATCGATTCTAACGATATACCGTCCGTATCACTAGTATCGATACGTATCGTATCGAACAGCCCACCTCTAGTCTGTATACAAGGTGTCCCTAAACATATTGGCATAAATTTATGAAAGGATTAAGCAAGTCAAAATAAGATGAAAACCCAAATAAATATTTTTCCTTATTACTTATGTTTCCAAGATACATGGTGATAAAGTGTTACTTATCATATCAGTTTTTTTAATATAACCTTGGAAAGGTGATATTTTGCGAACAGTCACCACCAAAACACATATTCATACATAATAATTATAATTGTTTGAGTGAACACAGTGTCGTAAAAACGGGGGTTGCTTTAAGCTTATTGTCCCATACAAACTTTGAAGTTAGGTTTTTATAACATTTGATGCAATTTTTAGATTACACAGTTCGGCTACCATTAAAAAGGTGAACCTATCAAACGATAAAATAAACCGTTTCCGAGATATTCGAGATTACAATAATTGTTATATCGCATTATTTAAAAGGATTAAAAGGTATATGATAACAAATTTTATTTTTTAATTGAAAAACCTAAAAAGAGCATTCCATGAGCCTCGGTACTTTTTGCCCTGACCGTCACATTAAAAAAATTGTAATTTTTTCAATTAATTTTTTTTTTATCATATAAAGGGTTTTTCATTTAGAGCGTCAGAACTTTTAAATGAGATAAAAAAAATAACTACATGTTATAATCCCGTAATCTATATTTTATTTTGAAAAACGATCGATGACATTATGTTTTAAATATAATATCGTTTAAATGTCCCCCTCGACTTTGCCTAAGTGAATGCATTATGAAGGCCTAATTTCTACTATTCTTTTACAAATACTTTGAATAGTGCGTTTAATGTTTCGTTTAAGGTCGAGAATTGTTCGTGGCTTATTTTTGTAAACCTGAGATTTCACATGATCCTTTAGATGCACAAAAGTTGACTTATTTGCCAGTAAACCAGTTTTTTCTTAAACGATAAACCTTATATTTCTCGCAACTTGCAAAATGTTTGGCAAACCGAACATGCATTTTGATGGTAAATACGAATTATTTCTAAGCGCTGTTAAATTGTTATCTGTCCATATTAATTTGACACAATGTACTGAACACATGTGTTGTCAAGATTTGACATTTACATTCCAGAGCAGCCTTATTTTTAGGGTTAAAGTTATGACGCTTTAAATGGAAAACCCTTTACTTTCTAGTCCTTTAATGCGATATAACCATTATTGTAATCTCGAATATCTCTAAAACGGTTTATTTTATCGAAGTTTGAGAGGTATATCTTTTTAATAGTAGCCGAACTGAGTAATCGAAAAATTGCATCAAATGGTATAAAAACCTAACCTCAAAGTTTGTATGGGATAATAAGCTTAAGCAACCCCTGTTTCTACGACACTGTGTTTACTCGAACAATTGTAATTATGTGTGAATATGTGTTTTGGTAGTAAGACTGTTCGCAAATATCACCTTTCCAAGTCTACCACAGTAGAAGATATATTAAAAAAACTGATATGATAAGTAACACTTTATCACCCTGTATATTTTAAACATACGTAATTAGGAAAAATATTTATTTAGATTTTCGTCTTATTTTGACTTGCTTAATCTGCTCCTAAATTTATGCCACTAAGTTTAGGGACCTTGTATAATATAAAATTATAAATTTTCCAAAATTTGTGTTTTTTAAAGTACCTTTCAGAATTAAACAGAACAAAATTATTTAGACCGTTTTTTTTTATTTTCGGGAAAAAACAAAAATTTCTTGATAATTGTCATTTTTAGTTTCTTAGAAACTGACAAACCTTGCAAATTCTCTGATATTTTCAGTGGCGTTTTTAATTTTCTATTTTTTTCATTAAATTCGGCTTATTTCTCGATTTTTGAGGATGTAGAGACCCCTTATAATTTGAAAAAAAAAATGAAAAAACTCTTTTTTTAAACAAGAAAAAAAAAACTTTTGAAACTGAGTGAATTAAGTATAGGGTAAAGTAGACAGTTATCGGACACTTTATAGTTATTGGACAATTAAGAGTTCTATAAATAGTTACCTTAAAGTCAAATCATTAGATGACGCTGTATACAATTATAACTAAGTATCTCAGTCGGTAATAATATATAAGTACTTTATTTTGGGTCCAATATAGGCCAAAAAGTTCGCACGTTACTTTGGTGGTAAGATTTTAGTTTTTTTGTTAAGAGCAGAGCTGTGTTTAAATTACAACAAAAAATATTTCTAAAAAGTGTACAGATCAGTGTGTGTGGTATAAATGTGTTTCTCATGGTTTAAACATTGTCACTTAAATGCGTTTTAATTTTAATTCTGAAAACAAACAGTAAAATGGCCAGTGTCCAATTACTGGTTGGTAAAAAATGTAAATTTCTATTATTGGATATATGTCCAATATCATACTCTGTTTGTATCCCGGACATTTACCAGCCTATTCTTATGTAAAATTATCCCCTGAATCCAAAAAAAACCGTCAGAAACTATAAAAGTTAAGCAGTTTTTGAGATATAGTTAATTCCATATTATATGTAAAATTGATTATATTTCAAAAACTGTTCTACTTTTATAACTTTTGACGACATTTTCAGATTCAGCATAAAAAACTAATGGCAACAAAATTAATAAATTCGAAAAATAATTTTAACATACCACCCGAAAAAATATTAGATATACAGGGTGTTTCATAATATATGCGCAGGACTTCAGGATGTGATAGCTCATCCAAAAAGATGAAAAAAGTCGCTATTAACTTACGCTCTAAAATGCACAATTTTCGAGATACAGGGTGTTGAAATTTTAGAAAAAAAATCGTTTTTTTCGAATATCTCCGGAACCGTTTATTGTACAAAAAACAGCTTTTGTAAGCATTTTCTACTCAAAATAAGCTATGTTTTGTGCCAGAAAAAATTTTTTTTCCTCATAATTGGTGGAGATTTTGAAGGGTTAGCGGGTGTTTTTCTCCTTAACTTATACGCCCCTGAAAAAAGTACGGTTTTGAGAGGCCCATTCGAACCGCCAATGTTTTCTACACAAAAAAGGTACTCTTGGTCATAAGCTCTAAACTTGACCGTTTTCGAGAAAAATCCACTTTTATGTTTAAAAACATGGTCAATTTAAAAAAAAAATTTTTTTTTACTAATTAAACAAAATTTATTTTAACATTAGAACAAGTAACAAAACCAAACCATAATTGCAAAATAAAAAATGATTCAAAAGTTGTCTTTGCTAAATTCTTCAAACCGTAAAGGTAACGCATTTCGCACATTTCAGCATTTGTGTAAAAAATCATTTTTTATTTTTTTTTTTAATTTTGCAATTATCGTTTGGTTTTGTTACTTTTTCTAACGTTAAAATAAATTTTGTTTAATTAGTAATAAAAAAATTTTTTCAAAAAATTGACCATGTTTTTAAATATAAAAGTTGATTTTTCTCGAAAACGGTTAACTTTAGAGCTTATGACCAAGAGTACCTTTTTTGTGTAGAAAACATTGGCGGTTCGAATGGGCCTCTCAAAACCGTACTTTTTTCAGGGGCGTAGTTTAGGAGAAAAACACCCGCTACCCCTTCAAAATCCCCACCAATTATGAGTAAAAAAAAATTTTTTTCTGGCACAAAACATAGCTTATTATGAGTAGAAAATGCTTACAAAAGCTGTTTTTTGTACGATAAACGGTTCCAGAGATAATCGAAAAAAACGATTTTTTTTTTAAAATTTCAACACCCTGTATCTCGAAAATTGTGCATTTTAGAGGGTAAGTTAATAGCGACTTTTTTCATCTTCTTGGTTGAGCTATCACATCCTGAAGTCCTGCGCATATATTATGAAACACCCTGTATATATAAATCATCCTGTTCCGGCCTAAACATTATAAATGCTTCACAAACTAGAGATACCACACTTAATGATATTCGCAACAAACTATTTCAGAAGTCAGACCAAGGAAATAGTAGTTACCTTCAGAATCCAGAAAAGGGATGAGGAATCCGAGAAAGAAATATATGAATTTTATGATATTTACAAAAACGAATTTAACAATTTATATTATTTGATGTAAAGTTGTTATGTTTATATGGAAATTGAATGTCCAATAACTATGGTCCATGTGTCCAATTACTATATGGTTTACCTATTCCACTAGTGGAACATTTTTATGAGTTTCTTGCTTTCAGTCACGCAGATGGCAGCATCAAGTTTTGGGACGCCAGTGCCGGAACTCTGCAAGTCCTCTACAAACTGAAAACGGCCAAGGTGTTCGAAAAACCGAAATCCCGGTCCCTAGACTCGGAAGAGGACCCCTTTGCTGTCGAAATAATCTCCCTGTGCCCGGAATCCCGGAAACTGTGCATAGCCGGCGCGTCGAGCCACGTCATCCTTTTCACCTATCAAAAGAAAGAAGTCACGGACGAAATTACAGTACTCGAGGTGAGAAAATAGTGCCTATGTGTTGTTAAAAACAATTATTTTTTTTACTATCAAGCAATTTGACTGTCAAATGGATGTGTTTGGGCGCAAAATCAAAATCATTTGTCAGTTAACATGCTCGATTTGTCAGTTATAACCCTGATAGCACAGTTTATTCTAAGAATGTTTTTTAAATCTCCCAGTGGGAATATTCTTAGGATCATGCTATATTTCTTCTAGTCATGTTCTGAGAATGTTTTTTAAACCTTCTAGTGAGAATATTCTTAGGATCATGCTATATTTCTTCTAAAGAACATGCTTAAAGAAATATAGCATAATCCTAAGAATATTCTCACTGGCCTATAGGCATGTTCTTAGAAGGTGCAAAGTTTAGTGGTAAAAATTAATCCACTCTAAACATATGCTTAGAATGTTGAGAAAGTAATTGCTATAGAAAGTTCATTTAGGAATATTCCTGGAACATTCTATTAAGCATATTCAGTTCAGTTGGGTACCTATATAATAGTAAAATATACCATAATCTACGTATAAAGGAACCTATACTTATTAAATACTAAGTAAAAAACACAACCCAAAATATTTTTTTATAGATTTGTCAAATTAAAACAATATTCGATAAAAAAAATACTTTTACTATAGGTATCTAAATTATCCGGCTTTTACATAAAATCTTCTATCCAACTTAAATACAAAGAAGAACTATTTGGTTTTTTCTTTTATGAAGAATTATTTTATAAGGAAATATTTTGTTTTTTTATATGTTATTTTATGTTAAAAATAAATATTTATTAATTTGTATACCGATTTTTTATATCTGAATTAACATTTTTATGTATAATAATCCTAACTATCTTCAACTTCAATCTAATCTGACTTATCCCACAAAATTTTCCAATTTTACTTTTTATGAAATAATGTCATACAACTTATGGTTTAAAGGTCAAATTGTTTATTTAATATTTTTAAATAAATATATATTAATATGACGCAAAATTTTTTAAGGGGACGACAAATACTGTCATATTATGACAGTGTATTTGTCGCCTCCTGAAGAATTTTACGAATGTAGAATCCAACATATCGATGACTTTCTGCCAAAGTATCGCAAGTAACATAACTCAAATTTCGGGAATTGAAAACATTTTTGTTTTAAAGTCTGTTTTAAACCAAATATAACCTACAGGTTTTATAACAAGTAAATAGCTATAATTATAAGCTAAGTAATTACTTATTATAAAACCTTTAGGCTATATTTAATTTAAAACAGACAAGCAAAATGTTTTCAATTTCCGAAATTTGGGTTATGTTACTTGCGATACTTTGGCAAAAAGTCATCGATATTAGAACGTGGGTATCTGACATATTTGGAAATATTCTCAAAAGCTTCCTAGAAGCTACATAAGAAACCTTCTAAGAACATTTCAAAAACGTATTCTTAAAATGTTCTTAGAATGCTTTTTAGGAAGGTTTTAAGAAGCTTCTAAGAATCTAATTGCATCATTAAAAGGGTATCTACTCGTACTGAATGTTTTAAAAGTCCCTAAGAACATTCTTAGCAATAAGGGAAGGTTCTAAGAATATTCCATTATTCCGGGTCATATCTTCTTAGAATCAAATTTTGCTATCAGGGTATGTGTTATTAAAGACAATTATTTTTTTTACTATCAAGCAATTTGACTGTCAAATGGATGTGTTTGGGCGCAAAATCAAAATCATTTGTCAGTTAACATGCTCGATTTGTCAGTTATAAGTAGAACCAGACAGAAGGGACATGACATGTTGGGAAAAGCTTTAATTTTAATAGAAAGTATTTAAGATTTTACTTTTATATTGTCTATTAAAAAAATGCCAATATCCCTATCTACTTTTTTTTGTTTTTATAATGCGAAAAAAACGAGTTTTTTTGTTATTTTGTTTATCTTTTATATTTTGTTACAGGTGCCAATTGTGTACGAAGTTCCGGACGAATTAGAGCTGTCACCGGATTGCCAATTTTCCGGACCCGGAAGTGCCGGATCGGGAAGTAAACTAGACATGTTGGACTTTGACAATAAAAAAGTAAGAATGATCTAAATTATTATATACCTACCCATAAATTTAAGAAATTAGTGCTGTTTTAATTGATCTTTCTATAAGGTTAAAATATATATTATTAAACAGGAAAAATTACTAGGGTTGCCATTTTTAAACATTAATTTTCAGGGTATAATATAATATATACAAGGTGTCCCTAAAATGCCAGTACAAAATAACCAAACTTACCTTTATAGGGTGTAAAAGTAAATGTTTGTTTTCGATTTAATCAAATAACTTAAATTTAAAAAAAATAAACGTTTTTGCACAAAATTTTATATTCTAGGAGTGGAAAAACGAACTTTTAACTTTAAATCTTGGATATTATTAAGGGACACTTTCCATTACATCTTTATACAGAGTGTTAACATAATTATGTAATTTATGTAATATATTAAACTGTGTAGTTCCTTAGGGTCCATAAAGAAGCACCTGAAACCTTTTTTTCTCTAAAATCTAAAGACTAAAAATAATTTATAATAACCTTTATTCACCAAAAAGTACGCCACTAATCGACTAGGAACTTTAGATTAATCTGGTTGCCTAATATAATTTATTATGTTATCGTTCGTAACAATCAGCGTTTCCAGATTCTGTCAAAAAAAGTTGCCATATTTTGTTTAAATTTAGCTTAATTACAAAAATGAAAAAATCAACAATGCAAATTGTTGATTTGACGTTTTTATTAATTGTTGATTATGTCATTTTTGTAATTAAGGTAAATTCAAACAAAATATGGCAACTTTTAAGACAGAATCTAGCGCATTTCCTTCAAATTTTAGGTTATGTGCTCAAATTGTAAATATCTTAACTAAGGGAAGTGCTTTTGGATTTATTTACACAAATTGAATGTTTAAAGTTTAACCTAATTTCATCTGAGTAAACAGAAAGAATAAAACCGATGAAAAAATTAATTTTGTGGTTATGGAGTTTTTAAAATAGGTACTAAATTTTCTAATCATTGCTTTTAAGCTTAAAAGCTAATAGCTGGATCAGTAATTAAATACAGAAGGGTATTAGAGCTTTAAGGGCATAAAACTTTTGTATTTATTGAGTTTTTATTTATTTTTTGCAAAAAAAAATTTAAGGAACAATTTTTTACAACTGGCAACGCGCAGTTACTTTGTTGGTTGGTATCTTTAGATCTTTCAATGCATATTTTTTCTTTATCTTTGGGAAAATATTTTTTTAAATATTTTTTCGTTACACATTATGTCAAAAGGTATTCAGTATTTTAATATATTACATTAATTACATAACACCCTGTATATTAAAAAAAAAACATATTTTTATTTATGTTTTTACTTAAAGCATTTGCCATTTGTTTGAACAATTTGCAAAATGTTTTTTATTAATTTTGGTAGTTGAGTGGTATTTTTTCTTCCGTAGGATGGACCAACGTTAAGGGTCCGCCAAGGTCCCCAGAAAAAAGCCCCCGGATTTCAAGCTCAGCTAGTTTGTCTGACATCGTGGAATGGTGGAGAACCTCCCAGTCATATTTCATCGCTTACGATTAACAGTTCTTACGGATTGTAAGTAATTCAGTATTTTAGTTTTTTTGTCAAATTTATATATTTTGTTTTAATAGGGTTGTAATTTCGCAACTATAGTCTAACCTTTAGAGAAAAACTGATGTTAATTAGTTTTTTAACAACAGTTTTTTAATATTTCAAATTTATTGTTTTTTTAAGTTAGGTATTTGGATTTCTTTCTTTTCCATTTTGTAATTTTATCTATAGGTGTTTAATATATCTATAGATAAAATATTAAAATGGAAAATAATGAAACCCAAATAAGTAGCTTGAAAATTTTGGTTTACTTTTTTAATTAATTTATTATTTTTATTTAAAATTAAATTAATCTTGGCAGGAATTATTTATTAATATTAATAATTCCAATTTTTTATTCGTGTTTTTTTAGCCTTTTTAGCTTTAGATGTGAATGTTTTACATTGTTGCATTATTTGTTTAACAAATTTTAGTAAAAAATTATAGAATGTAGTTTATTTTTTTTTATCTGGACTTGTGTTTTTTTGTTAGGTTGGTGGCTTATGCCAGTTTGACTTAGTATTTTTAGTATTTAAAAATGGTACTTCTGCTAAAGAATTTAATTAAATAATTTGACACTGTCAAATTGACAATAATATTTATTATTGATAATTTACTTGTCAATTATAAATAAAAAGATAATTAAGCCAAAAATCATGGCAACGAATTCGAATTTTTTATTTTTGGAGTAAAAAAGTAACGAATTTGGTTTTATAAATATTACATCATACATTATTTTCAGATTATTCACCATTGGACAACATTTACGTTCACAACAAATTTTAATTTCTTTTATATAAATTCTTTTCAAAGCGAAGATTATTATCCACTAGGAATACTTTCTCTTCTGGGCCGTAAAGAAACCTATATTTAACTACTTTTTTATATGATTTTACTCATCCAAGCACCACCAAAGCCAAATTAATTGCATTTTTAACTACGAATTTCGACAACTCAACTTGACAACTGCACAATGTAACCTACAATAATTTATACATAACCCCAATTAGATTTATAACTATAGTTATAGCTATAGCTTAGTTTGTTTTAATTAATGCGACCAACTTGACAACTGTACTCACCAACCAAAACACTAAATTTGCAACGTTGCCGCAGTCCAGATAAGAAAAAAATGAACTTTACTATTTTTTGTTAAAAATGTTATGTATAATAATACAAAAGTACCCATTTCAAAAGCTATTATAAAAATGAAATGAAACAAATACAATTATTAAAAAAGGTCATTCAGATCATTATATTTTAATAAGTTTTTGTACTTGGTTTTTTTTTTTAGAATTTGGTTTTAAAACTTATTTTTGTTTATTTAATGTCTACTTTTTGTCCAGTTTATGTATTACTACAGCTCAAGCAATTATTTTTTATGACGTTATAAAGTTGTTTTCCTATTATTCTTTTTTTTTAAATTTTTTCCAATTAATTTTTTTAAAATATTTTACTGCTTTTAAAAGAGCCTTTAAGAATTTTTCTCTAACTTGATTCACCTTGAGGGTATCAGATCTGAAATTCATTTTTTTTTCACTTAAATCAGATATTTTTTAAAATATTAAGAGAATGGCTTGTCTCACCAAAAAATTCTAAAATAAAAAGTTGTAGAAAATTAAATTCTCTACAAAAAAGTTCTAATGTTTATATCGCTAAAGTGTACGGTTTACAAGATATTTAATAGTTATGGAATCAAATTAAAGACAAATTTATCTCAAGAAAACTTTTTAAATTTTTAAATATTAAACTGCTTATATCTTGTAAACTGGTCCACTTTCGCAATATAAAGGTAAAGACTTTTTTGTAGAGAATGAAATTTTCTACAAATTTTTCAGGAAGACAAGCCATTCTCTTAATATGTGAAAAAAGTAAAAATGTTTTGTTATTTTTTTAACAAATTTTAGTAAAAAGTTACAAAAAGTACTAATTTGTGTTAAAAATGTACCCATTTCAAAAGCTATGAGTTTCTGTACTTTGTTTTTTCTTAGATTTTCGTTTTAAAAACTTATTTCTGTTTATTTAATGTCTACTATTTGTCTAGTTTATGTTTTATTACTTCAGCTCACGCAATTATTTTTTTCTGACAAGTTGTTTTCCAATTATTAAGCATTTAAGTTTAAAAAAAAACGTGGCAACGCTGCAGCGCGCTGTGAGTTTATGTATCCGAAATATAACACATCTAAAAACGGTCGCTGGCGTTTTATTTTTAAAACGTCTTTTGAAAATTATTTTCTATCCTTTTACAGGAAAATACACTCACAGGCAAAATAATCGTTCCACACAAATTTTCGATGAATTTCAATGGCAAATAACTTTTTTATTTGTTTTCAGATTTAAACAAATATTAAAGAATATTGTAGATACATTAATGGAGAATTGCTCACATTTTAAAAATTACTAAAAAATAGACGTACGTTTATAATATACAGTTTTAAACAAAATGATGTTATTTACCCTAAGTTTAAGACACTCTGTAGAGTGGCAAAACCGTATATTGTTCTAAATTAAGTTTTAATTATCAAGTCACATCTATTTTTAACATTTTTTGTTTTTGGTTCACCTTGATATATTTATTTTTGTGGAAAATATGGATTAAAAAAAAAAACATTGCAATTTCCAATATTTTTCCTGTATAAAGAACTAAGGTTGCTATGGTCCATCCATAGCCTATGGAGGATGACAGTGACAGTTTTGTTGAATCATCTTATACTTGGACACGTCATACACGGCTTTCAAAAGCTATCAAATTGTTTATTGCAAATGTTTAAATTTTGAGGTGTCTTCTTACTTTTAAAAATGTCTCCGACTGATGTTGCCCTTTGTACTTTACTTCTTGTGACGTTTAAAACACTTGCCACGTGACCGTCCATCCTGGATTAAATTAATGGCAACATCAGTCGGAGACATATCCATTTTTTAAAGTAGGAAGACACCTCAAAATTTAAACATTAATTTGCAAAAAACAATTTGATAGCTTTTGAAAGCCGTGTATGACATGTCCAAGTATGGGATGATTCAACAAAACTGTCACTGTCATCCTCCATAGCCTATGGATGGACCATAGCAACCTTATTTCTTCATACAGAAAAAATATTGGAAATTGCTATATTTTTTAAAAATATCCATATTTTCCACAGAAATAAATATATCGAGGTGAACCGAAAACAAAACTGTTAAGAATAGATGTGACTTAATAAATAAAAGTTAATTTAGAACAATATACGGTTTTGCCACTCTACAGAGTGTCTTAAACTTATGGTAAAAAACATCTTTTTGTTTAAACCTGTATGTTATAAACGTACATCTATTTTTTAGTAATTTTTTAAAATGTGAGCGATTGTCCATTAATTTATCTACAATATTCTTTAACTTAACTTTTATTACTACATTTTTGTTCTTTTTTTTTAATTTTTTCCAATTAATTTTTTTATATATTTTTATGACTGATTTAGAGACCAAAATAATGCAATAAAATACTTATTTTTAAAATATTTTCTTCCCAGAATGGCATATGGTAACGAAGCAGGCATTGTGATAATAGATATAGAACAGAAAGTTTGCTTACTGAATGTCGGCAGTCCGGACCTGTACGGGGCGCAGGACCCTTACTCGCGAGTGCCCCGCAGCCCGAAAAAAGGACAATCGGACGCCATTCCGATCAACATGGACAGGGAGGAGCGGCAACCGCGCAGCCCCAGCATAGACCAGGTCAGTGATTACAAAAAGATAATTTTTTTTTTTTTTAATTAAGTATCTTATATTATATTTTGATTGATATATTTATTTGGATTAATATTAATTTTGATTTTTCTCACTTTCGTGTGGCATGTGACAACGATACTTTAAGTTTTTTAGTATTTATTTTGTTTTAATGTTGGTACAGTGTAGTGGATTAAGTTAATCCAAAAGATTTTACTTTTATTTGCAGATATATACAAAAAAGGTTTTTAAGAAAACATTTTTATTTTTTTGTTATATGAAAAATTTTCTATAATTTAGTTTAATATTTAAGTTTTTTTCTGTAATTAAGGATATTTTTTTTAAATTGAAATAATGTTAAGTTGTTGAATGCTACTTTTAAAAAAATTCCCAAAAAAGCTTTAAACTTTAAAACCCTAGTATGGACCTTTAAAAAGGTTTTAAATCAAGGAAAATAATAAAAATAAACAAAAAACTTAAAGTTCCTAAAAATGATATAAAAAGGAAAAATACAAAAAAATCTAAAAATCCTTTTTAAGCGATTTAAAAATCAATACAACAAAAAGATCTTTCAATAATAATTATTATAAAAGTCAAAAAATTAATACAATTAATTTAAAATTTCATATAGGATAAACCAAATAGTTATTGGACACTTAAGGAATATTATTTATTTAAAATTTATATATGCCGTTGTTTTAAAGTTTTTTCTTATAAATATATAAAAAGGATAGTTTGTTTGTTTAAGCTTTATTCATGTTCACTTAAAAATAAGAATATTTGAATTTTTAATAATAGTTTTATAAAAACATGCAAAAAAGTATAGTAATTGGACATTTTATATAGTAATTGCACACATGGACCATAGTTATTGGACATACAATTTTCATATAAACATAACAACTCTACATTAAATAACATAAATTGTTAAATATTTTTTAAAGATAAATTGCTGTTTTAGGTAATTATTTTTATTTCGTTTTTGTAAATTTCATATAATTCATATATTTCTTTCTCGGAATCCTCATCTATTTTTTGGATTCTGAAGGTAACTACTAATTCCTTGGTGTGACTTCTGAAATATTTTGTTGCAAATATCATTGTGTGGTATCTCGAGTTTGTGAAGCATTTATAATGTTTAGGCCGGAACAGGATGATTTATATATATCTAATATTTTTTCGAGTGGTATGTTAAAAGTATTTTCCGAATTGATTAATTTTGTTGCCATTACTTTTTATGTTCTTTATCTTTATTTAAATCACTGTTATTCTGCAAGATGTCCTGTGACGAATAAATCACTATATTACTTACTCTCTAAAAATAAATTAGTCAAATATGTCATAGCGAAAAAGCAGCCACTAATAATTCTCGTCAACAGAAATTTGTAACCAGGACATGTAGCAGTCAATTCCTATGAAATATTATTTGCTGAATCCGAAAATGTCGTCAAAAGTTATAAACGTAGAACAGTTTTTGAAATATAATCTATTTTACATATAATATTGAATTGACTATATTTCAAAAACTGCTTAACTTTTATAGTTTTTGACGGTCTTTTCGGATTCAGGGGACAATTTTACATAAGAATAGGCTGGTAAATGTCCGGGATATACATATAGTATGATATTGGACATATGTTACATTTTTTACCAACCAGTAATTGGATACTGGCCATTTTAATGTTTGATTTCAGAACTAAAATGAAAACGCATTAAAGTGACAATGTTTAAACCATGAGGAACACATTTATACCACACACTGATCTGTACACTTTTTAGAAATATTTTTTATGGTAAATTAAAAACAGCACTGCTCTTAACAAAAAAACAAAAATCTTACCACCAAAGTAACGTGCGAACTTTTTTGTCCTATATTGGACCCAAAATAAAGTAGTTCTATATTATTACCGACTGAGATATTTATAATTGTATACAGCGTCATCTTATGATTTGACTTTAAGGTAACTATTTATAGAACTCTTGTTTTAACAGTATTAATGTTAATTGTCCAATAACTATAAAGTGTCCGATAACTATCTACTTTATCCTTATTTAAAGAAACTTCCCAAGATTTAACAATTTTTTCCCATCAGTTTTATTAAGTAGGTAAATTGTAAAATGTTACAAAATGTACTAATTTTTCTTAAAAATTTAATGTATAATAATACAAAAGTACCCATTTCAAAAGCTATTTATAAAAATCGTAATTAAAACAATTTTATAAAAAAAATCTCTTAAAAATATTAAAAAGGGCATTCAGATTCTTATCACTTTTAAATATTTTAATAATGTTTTTTTCGTTTTAGATTTTTGTTTTGAAATTTATTTTTGTTTATTTAATGTCTACTGTTTTTCCAGTTTCTGTCAATTGTTTTCCAATTATTTACCTGCAAATACAAGTCAACTTTCGTAGTAATCATAATCCAAAATCTAGTATGCTTAAATTAAGCTGCACTGTACCAACATAAAATTGCAGTACAACCAAAACCAAAAACCAAAAAAAAAACAATCGACAGTCGTGCGAGTCGCTCCACCAAAGAAGGAGAATTTTACGAAATTTCTATTGTCACAAGGCAAAGACAAAACGGACAAATACGTTAATATATATTTTGCTGTTTCAATGATTTGCAAATACCATGATGTAATATCGAGTCGTCACCCCCGTAAAGTGCTTTTTGGTGTTTAGGGGGAAGGGGGTGATATGGAACCCATTCTATTTTGCCTTACTACAAAATTGTCTTCATAAATGTCGCTAATTTTATAATAAGAAATCTTATATGGAATCACCCAGTAATTACGAGAAACAGAATTTTACTCAAAAAAAAATATTAAAACAAATTTTATAATGAAAATAAACTTTACGGTTAACTTTACGGTATTAAGTTATGAATTTCTTCTTGGGAAACATCTCCTCACCTCTCTAAAACTGCTTTTATTAGTTTCTAAGTCATTTAACTTGAAACTTTGAAATATCTAGTTAGTATGCATTTTACGAAAAAATGTTTAAAATAAAAATTAAATGATTCCTTATAGGGGGAACAGGGGGTAACTTTAAAATTTCCAATGGAACACCCTATTTTTTATTGCAGATTCGGATCATTCGTCTAAAAGTAGGTGGATTTTGTCTAAAAACATTTTTTCATATTTGTAATAGATGGCGCTGTAATGAAAAAAAAATCAATTTTGTTCGATTTTATTAAATCTGATTTTTTAAGTACCCACGACTTTTTAACTAATATTTAGGTTTCCTTTGGTTTAAGTTTTATACATTATTTCATTTGGTGAAATTATCAATTGCGCACGGTGTGCCTGAACGAAGTTTAAGTCACATAAAAATGCCGCCAAAAACTTTAAGGAGATTTTGAGAATACTTTTTTATACTGTGCACATCATTTAATATATACAGGGTTAGACAAAAATAAAGCAAAAGCGTAACTTCATGATTTGGCATAATACGCAAAAAAGATGGGATTCTTATTAAGACTTTATAAGAAAAATTAATTTTGAATAAAATTTAAAAAAATAACATTTTTTGGAGATAAATATTTTTTGTGCATTATGCTTTTTACTATACAAAAAAGTGATTTTTGGCTAACCCTGCATAAATCTAATGATGTGCTCAGTATAAAAACAGTATTTTCTCTCTTTAACAATATACTCCAATATTATAAAAATCGGTGTACAAATGTGTACTCTGTCAAAGGTAAGATAAACAAAAATTAAAAAAAAAATTAAGAATTTTCAAAAAATTTCGAAAAGAGGAGCAGCTAGGATTTTGGTAAATATCATTTTAAAGTTACCAAAGAGTCCCGAACAAGAAACTGCAATCAATAAAAATCGGTGTACAAATGTGTACTCTGACAAAGGTAGACTTTGCTATAAACAAAAATTAAAAAAAAAAAGATGTTTTAACAATTTTTTTTAAATCTCCAAAGAGTGCCGATCAAAAAACTTTAACCAGTTTTTCGTTCAAAATTGAAAACTACTAAATAGCCTAAATTAAACAACATTTTAAATATTCTCTAAGCGTTATTTTATTTATTTTTATTGAAAATCAATTTTTTTATAAAAGGTTAATAAGAATACCATTTTGCAACCTGATAAACGTAGAAATATCTAAAAAAAAAAATGGGGATAATTCTTTTTTGCGTGTTATGCCAAAATCATGAATTTGCGTTTTTGTTTTATTAAAAATAAGCGATTTTTGGCTGACCCTGTATATATCAAATGATGTGAGCAGTATTAAAAAGTATTCTCTAAGTCTACCCAATAACATACTGTAATTTTGTAAAAATCGGTGTACAAATGTGTACTCTGTCAAAGGTAGACTTTGAAATAAACAAAAATTTAAAAAAAAACATGAATTTTCAAAAAATTTCGAAAAGAGGAGCAGCTAGGATTTTGGTAAATATCATTTTTAAGTCACCGAAGGATCCCGAACAAGAAACTGCAATCAGTTTTTGGCGGCATTTTTAAGTGACTTAAACTTCGTTCAGGCACACCGTGTGCGCACCATGGTCACTTTTTACCTGCCAGCATTAAATACTTTAATTTAAAGGATTATTTTACTATTTTTAATAAAAATACCTCATTTAAGGTAAAAACAAATATTTAATTCTAATTGAGGTATAAAAAATGGTATTTAGTTATAAATAATAATTATTATTGGGGTATAAAGAAACTAATTATACATAGTTTAGCATTATTTAATCAATTTAGTTCGAAGATTAATTTGCAAACCAAAAGACCTCCTTTCGTTAAGCAGTTATTCATAATGGATTTTTTAACAGTGTAGAAAAAATATAAATGATTTTGATTTATGGAGAAGCAGGCAGGAATCTTGATGATGCTATTAATATCTACGCTCAGCGTTTTCCGGATAAAATTCGATCACGTACTTCATTTCACCGTACAGTCGAGCAGTTTACTACAAACGGGAGTGTTCAACCGAAAAAAAGAGTTCGTCGAGCAAATATTTAATATTGTTATTTTGAGCACCTACTTAATAAATAAATTTAAAAAATAAAATATTTTATTCAAAAATTATTGGAGAATCGTATACAGAAGAAAAATCGAACAAAATTGATTTTTTTTATTACAGCGCCATCTATTACAAATATAAAAAATGTTTTAGACAAAATCTACCTATTTTTAGTCGAATGATCTGAATCTGCAATAAAAAATAGGGCGTTCCATTGGAAATTTTAAAGTTACCCCCTGTCCCCCCTATAAGGATGAGAGTATGAGGACCAATTTTAGTACTGATTGATTTCCCCCCTCGAATCATTTCAGGTTTTAAGTTTATTCCAGAGACATTTCTTGTAATTACTGGGTGATTCCATATAAGTTTGGTTGTGTGCATTGATGAAGTTCCATATCTACTTCCTTCTCTAACAAACACGGTATATGCATGCCCTGTAGATGGGAAGGTCCCCGGAATCCCCCCTTAATCCCCAAAGCCCAATCCCCATCGAGCAAGCGGCGGAAGCAACCGAAGAGGATCGAAGCGTGCCAATACCGGCTACTGCGATGAAAAGACGTCAATCGGCTTGGAAGGGTTTCAACCTGAAACGTCAGCTGTCGCGAGTCGACATCAAAATCAAGAACCCCTTGAAGGACAAAAGGAGCAACTCGATATTTTACCCAAATGCGGACAATCAGGACGACGAGAAATCTTCTCCGGAATCCGAGGAAAATACCGTGATCGACAATCAACAAGTGACGAAAGAGGACCAACTAAATCAAAAAGACAGTTTGGATGACGTGGACCAATACCAATTTCCAGAAGATGAAGACGTGCCTTTGCAGACAGGTTCTATGGACGAAAGAAGGGTGAACTTTATCACCCGACCTGACAATCTCGATTTACCCGATGACGAATGCCCAGTACGTCCACCGAGACGCAAAAACAAATTCCCCGACAAAAGAGCGCAAAGGTTGCTGTCAGTCCCGAACATCAAATTCCCTAAAGGCGAGGCCCAAGTTGTGAAAGATTTGAGGGACAAAGACGAATTGGCTGTCAGTCCACAGCCCACTTTTACCGGCAATCTGAGAAGGCGTTTCAGTAAGTTTCAACTCTGTCCAGTTAATTTGACGGAGCCATTAAACTCCTATGTTAAACCTAAACCTAACAACCTTGTGACTAATACTAATTACTATATTAACGATTTTCGTAGATATGCCTGCGTATACATGGATAGTTTATTACTTATATTATTTATTTGTTATTAATAATCAGACTAGCTGTGGTAGATTTAATGAGGTAGTGTAGCCGAGTATACCTTTGTATATATTATTTATAATATAATTGATACACCACAAAATGACATCAATTTTTTTCGTTTTTTGTTTGGTATTCGCTTATTTGCTCAGTTGCTTTAATTGTTTTTGTTGACCATAACGATTTAGTACTAGCCCGGTCATGTTAAAAAATGCAAAAAATAGCATTTTATTTTTTCCTTATAGCTTTTTTATGGTTGATTACTGCGCACCGGTGTAAAAAAGGTGAATCTCACGAAATGTCCCCCGATGGTGATATTTAATAAAACTTAACACTTTTATTGTGTTTTGATCTTTCATAATTAAGTAGATATTACAGCTCAGGTTCCAGATTTTTTACAGCAATTAATTATTTTTTACAATGTTTTAAAATTCTAAAACCTATCCTCCGTGACTGTTACTCTTTCTAGGTTAACCTATATGTTTTCAAATATCTGAGGTAGTAAAAGCATACTAAAAATATCCAAAGCAATCGAATCAAATATAAAATATTATTAAAAATTAAAAGAAATAATTTTTATAAGCATTTATGTAGGTGTTGATTGATTATATCCTCCGTGAATCTGTTTTTGCTTTAAATTTTATGCAACGGATAATCATTTTTAATAAGCAACAACCTCTGTTTACGACATTATAGATGCATGTGATTCCTGAAGGTCAGTTAGAATTTATATGCAGATAAGAGTGTTGCTGTTTTATAATTCAAAAGTTTAAGTTCATTAATTTGCTATTTAAAAACCTATCCACCGTGAAGTGTAATATCTCAGTAAGTAGATTTTTGTATAAATATTTTATGGATGTACAATTGTATTTTTAAAAAATATTAAGTTGTCTAAAGATACAATTACATTATTTCAAACATAAAAAGGGATGTTTTTAAAAAAAACATACGAAATCCTAACCTCCGTGAAGCTCTAATATTCAAAATGTATGATTTCTTAAAATTCTTGCATTAGTGCAGAACCACTTATGTTATGTTATTACTAGACCTGGTGGCTTCCCAAAAACTCCATTCTAGACTAACAGTGAAACAACCAAAAAAAAAAATAGTCATTTTCACTGGGGGACATCTCAATATATTCACCCATAAATGTTTTTTTTCAATTGTATTTTCACCCAACATTGTAATTATAATGCTGTTGGGCAAGTATTACTGTAAAAGTTTTATTAAAAATATTAATAAAACTTAATACAAAAATGCTATTTTTTGCAGATATGCAAAGACTGGGCTACACCACGGAAACAACAATCACAAAATTGTTTTTATTATTATTATTTTCTATTGCCAGTAGGAATTTTTTGATTGTACTTTTTGGTGGTAAACTCGCCCACTGTTGTAACCAAAACAATAACCAAAAAATCACCCACCCGAACCAAATGTGTTGTGTAATATGCTGCCCTCAAAAAGTGTAAATAAAATAAGTATTGTGACCCTCCTTTAGTCCCGAATGTCGATGTTAATAATTTTCATTTTGTCCCGTGTTTTGGCATCACTAAGGCGCGCGATAAATCTTCGCCCTCTTCGAGCTCATACAGGGCGTTTCACGAGGAGAAAATAAGGCAACAGGTAAATACGTTAAATAAAAAAAAGTGGGACAATTTATCATAAGTATTATGTGTGCTTAAAGTTCATCGGTATGCACTTAAAAATCATGTTGGTACTATAGTCCCACAACGTGACTTTGATACAAATAATTTATGTTACCTTTCTGTCAGTTTTGGCCTATTTTTTGTGTTTTAAATTAAGACTTTTATACAAAAAATGTGAAGTTCTCTGAGAATAAACTTTACAATAAATTAGAATTTAGGAAGAAATAATAGGTTTTTCTACTAGCGTACGCAAAGTTGCACTTTTCCGCACGCATTTGCATTTAAAATGTACGTAAGTATGTTGATTTTGGACAAAATCAAATTTAATTAGTTACTTAGTTTCCATGTCAATAAGTGTCAAACAAAGTGAAACGTCATAATATATTATACGCTTAAAAAGTATCGCTAGTAGCGCCACCAATCGGTTGTTATCATCGTAACAAAAGTATTACTTTAAATAATCAGCTGTCAAAGGCTTATGTTACAAACGAGTGTTTTTGAGAATAAAGTCGAACAATGTCAAAAAATATCGGAAAAAAAACCAAGGCTCGATTTGTTGTGTTGTTGGGTGTATATTAATCTGAATGAAGAAATAAATTGTATACAGTCTCTGTAAATATAAATTGTACCTATTAGATAAATACACATTTTAGTAGTGATTAACGTGAAAAGTGTAAACATTTCAATTCAGTGAAAATCGTCAAACAAATAAGTCGTGTAAATTTAAACAGCATTTAGCATTATTAAAAGCGTTGATTAAGAAAGTCTCCACTTAACGGTAAAATACCATTATATTATGTATTATACGAGCCCTAACCACATAATGTTCGGACACTTCATAATTTATACAGAAATTTTTTTCGTGAATACTATCTCAAAATTATTAGAAGTTATGAAAAATTCAGCTTATTTTGGCATATACCCCTCGAAGCGATTTTTATTTTTAAAAAGTTTACCTTTTATTTTTAGCTTTTAAAAAAAGGCTAACTTTTAAACTTTTTTTTGTATGAGTAAAAAAAGTTATAAATGAACCCATTAAAAAGAGCATAAAATATTATACAAACCCTGAAAATTTGGTAAAAAATAAATAAGTTATAAAAAAGTATAAGTAATTTAAAAATGCTATTTTTAAAGAGTTTTTGCAATTTTCTTAGGAAACGGGAGATTTTGCAGATATATATATCGCTATAACTTTCTTATTATTTATACAATTTTTACCAAATTTTCAGGGTTTGTATAATATTTTATGTTCTTTTTAATGGGCCCATTTATAACTTTTTTTACTCATGCAAAAAAAAGTTAAAAAGTTAGCCTTTTTTTAAAAGCTAAAAATAAAAGGTAAACTTTTTAAAAATAAAAATCGCTTCAAGGGGTATATGCCAAAATAAGCTGAATTTTTCATAACTTCTAATAATTTTGAGATAGTATTCACGAAAAAAATTTCTGTATAAATTATGAAGTGTCCGAACATTATGTGGTTAGGGCTCGTATATAATTTTATGTTGCCATGAATTCGTAGGTATATTTTGTTGTTTAAAATGCAGTTGTCGGCGTTTTTTTGGAGAAATCAAATATAAAAATGGTTGATTTTAAGGTTATGTTCGTGCAAAAATTATTTTTTACTAATTTCTTAAAAATGTCCAAACTTAAATATAAATTATAGTAGGTAAAGTTATCATTAGTTAATTCTGCACCAACAAATGTACTTACCGAATTGGATCCTTTGGCAAAACATGAAAATGCAACGATTTAGTTCTTGAATTTTATTTACAATTAAAAACAGAATAATTCACCATGATCCCTTAGATAAAATACACACACTAACGTAACCATATAAGCATTTAAGCGTTGAGTTTCTTAATCAATGATATAAAGAATAATCAATCGAAATCGAGTACTAAACCAGTTTTTTAGTTTTTACCTTGCAACGTATAACACAAATAACGTGCGCGATTTAACTGTGCAATTGAACAAAATTTGTCTCTTTTGTGAAAAATCTACCTATTTATTTAAAAATGATGTACAGTTCGTATGCTTTAAATGTATTGTTGACAATTCTTAAATTCGCGCAATGCTTTTGTAGTACACCAGATGGCGCGCGCGTTGCGAAAACCCCATACTTCTTTAGCGTATATTCTTGTTAAGAAAGATTTAAAATTTAAGGAAAGTCGCAAAATCAAAAATTAAAAAGAGGTTTTAAAAATTATTAAAAATTATCAAAAGTGTTATAACAAAGAAAAATTACTAAATATTATAAAAATCATAGTTATAAGTTTATACTAAAACATTTTTAAAAAATAATACTTTTGATAAGTTGTCCTGCAACATCCATCATACCTGTAGTTCTCCTACTGAAAATCACATCACAAAACAATAATTAATGTTGTGGGAGGCTTCATCAAGTTTTGTTTAGATTTTTTGAGGGGCCGTGTATATTTCTCGTCGAGGTGTAAAGGAGTATAAACGTAGCAAAAACTAACGCTTTTGACTATTTCAGCGGTTTATGGGTTTGTGACTTAAATCACGGCTTTGGTGTTGGTGCTTTGTGAACCGTGACGAGGCCGGCAGTGGTCCGGAACGAAAGCTGCTAATAACGCAGGGTAGAATAATGTAGAAAATAATAGCGGGTTCTTGAAAAAATAAGGGTAAAGTCGTTGCCCCTACTTTTTAAGTTACCATATTGCCTGAACTAAAACAGAGTAGCCTATGCAAGAATAACTAACAATAGCGTAGCTAACAATCTAGAGAGCGAACAAAATAAGTGAATCATGTGTTTGTCTAAATCTAGAAGCTTTGAGCGAAATTTTCTGTTTTATTATTGTCTTTCGACTGATGACTGTATGGCTACATTTTTAATTCGTGACTAGTTTGGTCTACAATATTTAACCAAACTCAGAATTGCTTTATAATGTTGGGTTTTTCAGAAAATCTAGCCCAAAAGTAGGAAATCTAGTTACAGTTACAGTTATCAAGATGTCTTACTAGATACAGAAACGGTTAGATACATTAGACTGTATCAGTGGCGGCTGGTGGATTTTGGGTATACCAATATTTCAGTTATTAGACATGGGACCCACGCCAAATTTATAATAGTTTATAATGACATTAAATAGACAAGTTTGGCGCAAACAGAATTTAAATTGAAGTTTGCGAAAAAAGTTAGTTTTTCCTGTCGCCTCACCCGCCTCCAGGCCCCCCAATTTAAGATTATTCAAATTAAAGTGGTGCAATTTATTATCTACTATAATTTATCGAAAAATTTTAAATTATATTTAAAAAATTCAAATATTACAGATTTTATTCGATTTTAAATTTTTATTATTTATTTTATTAAAATAAAAAAATATTTAAAATGGTATAAAACCTGTAATATTTGGATTTTTTAAATAAAATTTTAAATTTGTTTATAAATAGATATATAGTATATTATATATCACTGGGTTATTAACGAACTAAACTATTTATTTTATAACTTAATTACACTTAAAACTTAACTACTAATTATTTATATATCACTACTGTTCAAGAGTCTATTTATTTGCACGTATATTTATTTATTTCATCGCGAGTACCAAAGCTTGACTGACTGTTCCATGCTGCGCTGTTCCTTATATATTTAGCGCCTATGTGACACTAGTCACGCAAACGCCTTTTCGATCCCAATCTTAGTTACTTTTCGAAAGGGAGAAAGGATTAAAAAAAATCGAAATGATTTTAAAGAGGATGACTAGTTATTTTAGATGACGTAACGAGTTTTATAAGTAAAATATGTTGTGAGTATTATAACCATGCTTTTTTCCATTTTTGGGTTGGACTTTTTGGAAAACCTAATACCTGTTTGAATTATTCAATTTTAAATAAATATGCAGTAAAATTTTAGTTGTCAACTAATCGGTCACGAACTGAAAAAATGTGTATAGGGTCATACTTTGAAATAGTTCCCCTGTAGAGCCCGGTGTACTGCTTATACTCGTCTAGTGTCACAAACATACCATAGATAACATGAAACAAAATATTGTGTTGACGATTTTACTATTGTATTTTAAGTTGTGTCTGTGATATTTTTACGGCAAAATGACAACACCGCAATGGAAGAAAAAAATGAAACCCTTCAGTTAAATATTTGTTTGAATTAAAATTTGTTTTTTGTTTACGGATTGATATTTTTTATATATACAGGGTGCCCCAAGTATCCTTTTATTTATGGGTATCTTTTTCATTTAAAGAGAAAAGTTGCGTAATTTCATTTCCTATTTATTAAAAAAATGAGGTTGGGTTGGATATGGTTGGGTTAAATTTTATTTTTTTATAATAAAGAATTAAAATCCTTTACTTGCATTTTAAGATAATTGGTTGGTTAGTTTACAAACTAGCTAAACTAAATTGGATAGTATACAAACTATCCAACTATTTTAGCTTTTCCAATAATTTCAAGTAAATTAGCCAAGATCCTTGATTATTTTTTAAACTATAGCCGCTAATTTTTAAAAATACGTTTTCTATTAAAATTGCCGACAGTTTGGCTAGTTTATTAATTATCCAGTTAGTTTTTATACTAGCTAAGTTTACACATGAATATTGCTCACCCTGCCTCTTATCGTTAAATATTAAAATTTTTGGCTTTGGACGACTGCCCAATATCTTTCTTTTTTTAGTTTCATTACTTCTTCTTAAAAAAGGAGTTTCAATTATTGAGGATTCATTTAAGAAAAAACAGAAATATTTAACTAAAGAAAACTTACCGGTATTTTGAAAACCTAACCCAACCTAACTACAAAAAAAATCTTAATGCGTTTTCTTGTGCTATGATAAAGCTTTGGACATTTTGTATCTTAATTCAACTAAGAAATGCAGTAAACTATCTTATAAGTTAAATAAATCAATTAAATATCTACTGCTTTTTATAAAAAATTAGTTTATGCCAATTTTCCACATATTTCTTGTTTAGCAGTTACTGCCTTTCTCCATAGTTGCTTAATACAAACTAATTCTATTTTACTAATCGGGACAAAAACTATAAAAGATCAGACAACAGTTTTAAATAATTTAATCTGAATCAAAACAAAAACACCTGCTTTACACACACTAGGAAAAAGAAAAGATGATGGTAATATCTCATAAGTAGGACAAAAATGTAGATAAATGTATACTTTTTTTTAAATTCTCAGCACCAAACTCTCTAAAAATGTAGTCTAAAATGACTAATTTAATAGTTATTAGTGTCTGCTTTTTCACTTGGACCATGGATAACCATGGAGTACCATAGTATCCCAAAATTTAACAGCCAATTCTTATGTAAAATTGTCCCTGAATCCGAAAATACCGTCAACAATTATGAAAGTGAAGCAGTTTTTGAGAAATAGTCAATTCCATATTAAATGGAAAATTGACTAAATCTCAAAAACTGTTCCACTTTTCTAACTTTTGATAACATTTTCGGATTCAGGGGCAATTTTAAATAAGAATTGGCTGTTAAACTTTGGGATACAATGGTATTCCATGGATAACCATGATACAAGTGAAAATAACTATTAAATTAGTCATTTTCGACTAATTCATTTTTAGACAGAATAAAAAAAGTATTGTAGTAACTACACAGTTTTTAGTGATATTTAATTAGGGTTTTGTAGGTTGCGGTGTTGTCAGTTTGCTTGTCCGTTGTCCTAATGCCAATACAATAAAAAATAAAATCAAAACCACCTCTGTGCTGGTGTGTGTGTGTGTACATATTGAGTAAGATCGCTTGTGTGGGTTGGCCAGATAAACGGCATGTGCAGCCCGATGTCGTCGACGACTGCGCAAGGCGGCGGCGGCTGTCCCACGCCGACTGCGGCACCAGGGGGCGGCTCAGGCGTCGGCGGTGGCGGCGGCGGCGGCGGACGCGTGCGACCCGACCCGCCACGTCGCTCCCGATCGCAAGGTACCCGAAAACTGCACAAGTGCCTGTCCACGGCCAGCTACAGCGAGGACTGCTCGGCTAGCGCCGGCTCTCACTACTTAGATAAGCCGGCATCGCCTGCGCAGCGCCAGCAGCTGATGGTCGCTCGGCAATATTGCAGTTTTGGTAGTACAGTCACCAGAGACACTTTTTATTATGTTCTTCTTGATTATTCATTCGACCGAAGGGTGTTTTTTTTCCAATTTACATTCTCCAATAAGGCCATTTTCATTCCATACAGATTACTAACATCGTCATTTTTTAAAGTTTGTCTAAAAACGTATGGTTCGAGTCAAAAAATATAAAACATAAAATAATAAATTTACATTCTCCAATAAGGCCAAATAAAGCGGATATGGCTATCTAAGTACCTACTAAATATATTTTTTCAAAGGCATGGAGAATCTTAAATTCTTAAAAAAACATTCTATATTCGGCTATTTACTACATAGGTACCTATTTTCTTTTTCAATCTCATTTAAAAACCTATTTTGCAAACTTTCCATTTTCATTCCATACAGATTACTAACATCGTCATTTTTTAAAGTTTGTCTAAAAACGTATGGTTCGAGTCAAAAAATATAAAACATATAAAATAATAAATCATACAAAGTAAAATTTCCCAAAAAGTATTACATACAGGGTGTCCCATAAAAATTCTAGGTAATAGTGTTCTCTAGTGTACTCGCGTAAAATGAACCCGCTGAACTGTGAACGGGCAATTCGCGAGCAACTTCCCTTATGCTCTTCCTAATATTTGCAACAAAGGCATTGAAAATATCTTCTTTATTTTCCGCGCCTTCAATTTCAACGCAGAACAATTTTACAGTCCAGGGGACGATCGAGAAAAACTCGTGCTGCCCCCTAGCATTGCGCCCATACTCCCCATAAATAATCATCATTTCGGCATATTCAGGAGAGAAAAAAAACTTAAAATGATATATAATAGTGGATTTCAGTCGACCAAATATTTTACATATTATAATATCTAGAATGCATCTCAAGTACCCCAGCAATTTAAAGTATTCTCTATAGCCATATATTGGGATTGGCTATCGTTTTTTATTCTTATCTCGCTTATCCTTTGAGTTGGATAATTTTAATTTTCAAGTATGTGGGACACCTTATATACTTTATAAAGTCAGTAAAAACTATAGTTATACAGGGTGTCTCAGAATACCATCAAAAAATTTTAAAAGGTGATTCTACAAATATAAAAAAAATCCCAGCATGTAAAATTTTTCTATAAAAAAGCATGTAGGTAAATCTTGCTTTCGTTTGATTAAATAAAACCCATTAAATTAAATGAATTTTTTGAAGAAATTTAGCAAAAAATATTGAAAAAAACATTATAAATAATTCTAATTCTAAATTTTAAAATGTTGCTAAAATTACTGCTAAATTAAATTTTGTTTTTTTTGCAAAAAAGAGGCCAAAATGACAAAACTATGCTTGATTGGATTAATAGAAGAAAAAAATATAAAATGTGAAAAAAAAACATTTTAAAAAACTGTTAAAATTTTTTTTTTTAAGCGGCCATGATATACCACCTTATATGCATGTATAGAGATAGTTGAAGTACGTCTTTTTCATTAGCGGCAGACAAAAAACTCAAAAAAGCCTAGGAATAGAAGTTAATTCATAGGTGACTCAATAGACGTCAAATAATAAAATTAATTTAGCATTTCATACAAAGCAATCACGATGTATTAATTATATTAATTATAATCTCACGGAATATTATTATTTATTAAATTTTAATTGAACGAAATAAAGAACAACTAGTTTATTAGTATAATATTATGATAATAGACGAGTCGCCAATGTCGGAACTCCAAACAAATGTCAGTACGTCAAAATTAATTCAAGCGCAGCATTTTGACAGAGCAGTGTTTATTTTTGGTTTAGGATATTTATAAATATATATCGGCATTGTAAGGAAGGGTTATAAGTTTTTTTAGTTTTTATCAATAATTTCTAATGCTTTAAGCCAAAATTGTATACCACAGGAGTTATAAGTAAATAAAATCATTCTATTGCTTATCCTATTTATATTACGCCCTTGAAAAAAAAATTGAATATGTTATTTGGAGTAGAAGCTCTTTTTGTGCTTCGTACAGTTGCCTGCCTCAGCTACGCTTCGGCCGTCAATCTCTGTACTCACCACAAAAAGAGTCACTTCTACTCCTTATGACATAATCTACTAGTATGTCAAAGTGCACCAGAGATAAATAATAAAATGTAAATGTTAAGTGCATTATAAAGCAGTTTTGAGCTGTAGAATCACGCCTTAAAATTTTTGGATGGAATTCGGAGAAACCCTGTATAATAAGAAAATTTTAATTTTTGAAAATTTTTATTTATAAAACAATGTTTTTTAAAATGCATTTTTTGCTCTTGAAAACATTTAAAACAATTCTCGAAAAAATAAATAAATAAAATGTATGGCTATTATTTACAATAATCACATAATTTTTAAAATATAAATCTTTATAAAACTTTGAATTAATAACATTTGTCAAAATTGTTATTCAATTTGCTATTTGTAATTAAACATTTTTTTATATTGTTTCAATAAAATAAATATTTTGTACGTTTCCAAAAAATACCATAGAAAAATAATTTAATTGGGACAAAGTGAGGTTGGATCGGTCTTAAAGTTAACACAGAGATGTCGCCACCAGTGTTTATTAGTAGAGTAATTCATTCTGTAACACTTTAAGGAATGTATAGGATTCCACATGCAAAAGTATAATGATGAACATTATAAATTCTTTGCCTAGCAACGGGAATAATTAATTCATTATTCACGTTGTTATTATCAGTGATTGGCCGATTTTAATAGTCACTGTGATTTGAACCAATCTGGTTTTAAATTGGGAGAAGGCGACTATAATAATATTTAAAATTAATAGAAAGTAGGGTTAACCTTTTGACAGATGTCATATTTTATTTATTTATTTTTGAAAATTATTTAATTATCTACTTATTGGGATAGATAAAGTATTGTATAACACGATGCCATACGTACGTATTTTAGACAAACTATAGTATCTAGTATATCATTTTAGTACTATAAACGCTGTATTTCTCTTTACATCCCTTAATTTTGTCTTGTTTATTCATTAGAACCATCATCACTCTAAAGGACGAACTCTAAAAAATCTGCCTTTCCAAACTAACTAATCTAAACTAAACTTATTTAAAATAGTCACATACTTTAGTGGACAAAACTCGATGAAATTAAAACATAACAAAGTTTGCATAAAGCTCATCGAAAATTGAATTGTTCTTTAAATTCGCTGAATAAATCTCACTTTGCCAATACTGCGAATCTGTTTATTTTAGGTACATAAAGAATATCGATAAATTACACGATATGTTCTAGTTTGATAAATTGTAATTTATAAACGTCAATCCAATATGGTTAAATGATTAATCCCTTAATGGATTTGGTAAACCGCTTAACCGATTCCAACATGACCCAATTATATAGTAACAGAGGTTCCCAAATGATTAAAAACAAGAAAATCAACCTGTATTATACAAATAAATGATTACAATAATACTGATTATAATAAATAATTAAATTTTAGTTGGGTGTTCGGATTATATTATTTAACCAATTTCATTGTGCCTATTACTTTATTTTATATAACTTTAGGTGGGATGGAAACTGAGCTGGCAAGCCCAGGCTTTTTAAATGTAAAACAAGGTTAGATAATTCATCTTTAAAACTTTTACTATTTTTATATCTTAATATTTTTAAGCACCAGGCACTAACTATTTCATAGTTTTATTTTAAATAGTTTCTATTTTTATATTGCAAATAGAAGTTATTTGACTTTAAAGCATGTAAGTACGTTTAAAAATGCAAAATAATACATTAAATTATTTCACGATTTTATTTTTTTTTAGCTAAAATGGTTCAGCTGTTTCGTAATATCATTTATTTTTTTAAATAAAAAAATATTTGTTGTATAAAAATATTTACCCAATTTGATTAATTTTTTTCTTTAAAACAGCAGAACTATTTTATTATATTGTAACTTTTTTGTTAAAAATGGCGAATGTGTCGGGATTAATTATATGTTAATAATATATTATATTAATAACACTATGATAGTTCGAATTACAAACGTTGAGTACGCCCTCCTATTACCTAATTTTGGGCTGCTGATTTCAAAAATGCCACTCGTTTTGCTCCAGGATGTCTAGGATTCAAAATAATTGCGTAATAAAATGCTCTGCCCAATTATCTGAAAATGTAAGTTTTTCGTTAATTTTTCGATTTTTTATTAAATTATTTTGCATTAAATCTATTATGGATGTTCAGTATATTTTTTGACGTTTTTTGTCTAAAATATACTCCATACAAAGTCATCGGTAGGTAATTTACCAAAACTAAAATTATAATGTTTTTTTGGTTAAAAAGTAAAATTTTTGTAATTTTTGTGTCGTTTTTTTAATTACCTACTAATTAAATTGAAAGGCAACAAAGTAAATGGGTTTTGTATAAACATAACTCTTCGACTATTATTTGATATTTTTTCATTCACATTATGCCTAAATTACCCAATAATTTAATCTCCAATCTTATTTATTAAGTCTTATCAAAATTTAATATCGAATTGGAGTATAAAGGCGCCTTTATCTACTTTATCCTTCAAGTGCATTAAAGTGCATCTATTAATAATTGACATTTAAAATTTAAATTTTAAATTGTATTTTTACTTAAAAGTGATTTTAAGAACCAAAAATGAAAAAAGAGCAGGAAATGGAAGTGGTAATGGAAGTGGCAGAGTGTCGTCGTTGTAAATTTGTTTAATTTTTGTTGCGGTACCTATACGCCCAAGAAAAACCAACGCAATATTTCATTACAAAATTTTATGAGATATACCTACTACTTTAATTTTGCAGGAATATTAAATGGTCCTGATATACGACGTTTAATGAAAGATCAAGCATTCAAAAATGCTCTCAAAGTTGACGAGCTTGTCGCATATGGCAGTGTTAAAGCTGTCATTGAAAATGTTCTTGGTTCATATCAGGCCTAAAATTGGCGCCAATTTATTGCAAAAATGCTCTTCGTTTTGTAAAGAATGTCATTTAAAATACATTTTCTT